ACGAGGAGATCTGGCTGCGCCGTCAACCTGGCTTCACTGGGACTTTCCCTCCTGGCACCCAGTGGAGCCTCCGACGGCCAGGCACCACGTGAGTGGCACGACACACTGAGGACTACGCTTGCGGCTCTTGGGTTTGCTCCCTCTACTGCTGACCCGTTGTTGTTTCTACGCACCGACACTTCTCTGCCGCCGTTCTACATCCTCGTGTACGTCGACGACTTGGTCTTTGCCACAGCGGACACTGCTGGACTCGCCTACGTGAAGTCCGAGCTGCAGAAGAGACCTGGGTGAACTGCGCAGCTACCTTGGCTTGCAGATCACTCGGGACAGAGCACGCCGCACCATTACCTTGACTCAGTCACACATGGTGCAGCAGGTCCTTCAGCGCTTCGGCTTCACGTACTCCTTGCCTCAGGCCACTCCTCTGTCTACTCGCCACTCGCTCTCAGCTCTGCCTTCAGATGAGTCCGTAGAGTCAAGTGGCCCGTACCCAGAGCTTGTTGGCTGCCTCATGTACCTGATGACCTGCACACGACCTGACCTTGCATACCCTCTTAGCATTCTCGCACGCTATGTTGCTCCTGGGAGACACCGACCAGAGCACATGGCTGCAGCGAAGAGGGTGTTGCGCTACTTGTGCAGTACGTCGGGCATGGGGCTAGTGCTTGGAGGGCGGAGTCCAGTGGTCCTCACTGGGCACGCGGACGCTTCTTGGGCTGACGACCAGGCTACGCAGCGGTCGTCGCAGGGTTACACCTTCAGTCTTGGTTCCGGCTCTGTTTCGTGGCGGGCTACTCGCTCGTCTTCTGTTCTCGGCTCCAGTTGTGAGGCTGAGATCTACGCCAGGGCCATGGCTGCTCAGGAGCTTCGCTGGCTCACCTACCTGCTAACTGAACTTGGAGAGCCGCCTCGTTCTCCTCCAGTGCTGTACGTAGACAACAAGGCCATGCTGGCCTTGTGTTGAGAGCAGCGTCTGGAGCACAGAACGAAGCACATTGCTCTCCGCTACTTTCTTGCTCGTGAGCTGCAACAGCGTGGTTAGTTGCGACTCGCGTACGTGGCCTCTAAGGCCAACATTGCTGATGTTTTCACCAAGGCACTTCCGCCTTGTGATCATCAGCGTTTCTGCACTCAGTTGGGACTTGTCCCAGTCTTGCCTCACTTGCTCACCTCTTGATCTTACTTGTACTCTTGCATATATATATACCTGCTCTTGCTTGTTTAGACTTATATATATGTCTCATCCTGCATGTGAACTGGCCTTGTGGCCTTGACCTTGTGCTTAGACTGTGTGGTGACGTTGTGATCCACCCTGAGCTTGCTTGGCTTTGCTTTGCTTGACTGGTCTTGTGACCCCTTGTTCTCCCCCACTTTGCCTATGGGGGTGTGTCAGAACATTATAGCTTATGATTTTGTGTAGGCTATAGTGGGGTATCCCATAGGGGGTACAGCCCAATTAGGGTTAGTACTTGTACCCACTTCATTCATAGTTCATTCATTCACGTTCACTTCTTCACATATTATGCAGAGGCGATTTCAGTACTCCTCTAAGTAGTAGACAGCCATGAAAGCATGGCTTTATAAAAGCCCAGAGGCACCTACGTCGACGAGGTTCCCCTTCCTAGGGTGAACATAGTCGATAGCATATGGATTTTCAGGGTGAAGTGGCCCCCGGGTTCTCCGCCTGCCTTCAAGGCACGTAACATTGTGCGAGGCTTCAGTCAGCAACAAGGAGTTGACATCTTTGAGACCTTCTCCCCTACCCCGAACATGACTACTCTTTGGATGTTACTGCACGTTGCAGCACTGCGTGACTACGAGCTGCACTCACTTGACTTCTCCACAGCCTTCCTGCAGGGCAGTCTTCACGAGGAGATCTGGTTGCGTCGCCCACTTGGCTTCACTGGGTTGTTCCCTGAGGGTACCCAGTAGAGCCTTAAGCGGCCAGTCTACGGTCTCCGCCAAGCGCCCTGATAGTGGCACGATACACTGAGGACGACAGTTGCGGCTCTTGGGTTTGCTCTTTCGACTGCTGACCCGTCGCTGTTTCTGCCCACGGATACTTTTCTGCCACCGTTCTACATCCTCGTGTATGTCGACGACTTGGTTTTTGCTACTGCCGACACTGAGGCACTGGCCCTAAACCAAAGTGGAGTTGCAGAGGAGACACACTTGCACTGACTTGGGTGCCCTGTGCAGCTATCTTGGCTTGTAGAACACCTAGAACAGAGCAAGGCGCACCATCTTTTTCACTCATTCACACATGGTGCAGCATGTCCTTCAACGTTTCCGCTTTCTGTTCTCCTCGCCACAGCCCAATCCTTTGCCAGCAAACCACTCGCTCTCAGCTCCACCTTTGGACGAGTCCGTAGAGCCGAGTGGTCCGTATTCAGAGTTTGTGGGCTGCCTCATGTACGTGATGACTTGCATTTGACCTGACCTCGCGTACCCTCTCAGCATCCTTACTGGCTTCGTTGCGCCCGGGAGATACAAGAAGGAGCACTGGGCAGTTGCGCAGACGGTACTGTGTTACTTGTGCAGTACATCGGGCATGGGGCTTGTGTTTGGAGGACGGGGCTCAGTTGTGCTCACCGGGCACTCAGACGCTTCTTAAGCAGACGACCAGGAGACTCAGCGGTCGTGACAGGGTTACACTTTCAGTCTCGGCTCTGATTCTGTCTCCTGGAGGTCCACCCAGTCGTCTAAAGTTCTCAGCTCCAGTTGTGAGACTGCGATCTACCTTGGGGCCATGGCTGCACAGGACTTATGCTGGTTGACCAACTTGCTGACATATTTGGTTGAGCGACCTCGTTCTACTCCGGTTTTGTACATCGACAACAAGGTCTCGATTGCCTTGTGTCCAGAGCAGAGACTGGAGCACAGAACAAAGCACATTGCTCTTCGTTACTTTCTCGCTTGAGAGTTGCAGCAGCGTGGTCAGCTTCGCCTTGCTTACGTGGCCTCACGGGCCAATACTGCTTATATTTTCATCAAGGCACTTGTGTCTAGTAATCATCAGTGTTTCTTCACTGCTCTATGCCTAATGCCTACTTTGTCTCACTTGCTTACTTCTTGACTTTGAGTCCTACTATGATCTATATATGTATATACATATATATATATATCTATATATCTGAAGCTTGTCAGAATCTCGGTCACTAACTACCGTAAGCCCCCGGATAGAAGCGCAGGCCTCGGATAAGCGCCGGCGCTTATAAAAGGATGAGGGCGCTTATATCCGGTCCTCGATTATAAGCACACCCCTGAAGGCTTACGGATTATAAGCGCCACCCTCTTCTTTTTTATTATAATTTTACTGAAATCGTTGTAACGAAACTCAACATTTTCATTCCCACATTTTGAATTTCGATGCCCCCTCACCCTCGCCCAGCTCACTGGCAACGCGTCCAGTCAGAATGAGCTGTCAAAGGCGCACGTTGACTCATTCTGACTGTGTGTGTTGGCAGGGAATCAATCCTTGCCAACTTGCACGCGAGATTCTCAATAACAGCCTTGTACAATATAGTTTCAGATTCTGACTGTGTGTGTTGGCAGGGAATCAATCCCTGCCAACTTGCATGCGAGATTCTCAATCGAACCCTGTATAGTTTCGACTCGATTCAATTCGCAAGAACGGGATCTACAGTTTGGTGGAAAAACGACGAATTTCATATATGCTATTATATAAGCACCGGCGCTTATAAAAATCCTCAATTATAAGCGCACCCCCTAAAAAAACGTGTTTTTTTATAACCCCAGGGGCGCTTCTATCCGGGGGCTGACGGTACTGGAATAAAAAGGCTTGTTTGTGTAGCGGGTAAGTGCGCCCATAACCTCCAAGGCCAACGTGCCTATAACCCTTCCCTAGGATCAATCGGTGATCACCAGTGGACTTCTGACAAAGTTTACTCTTGCTAGATTGTGTTCAGTGTAATGCTTCTACTTTTATTACTTTACATGTGAACTGGCCTTGTGCTCAGACTGCGTGGTGATCTTGAGATCCACTATGAGCTTTACTTTGTTTTGCTTCTTGGCTTTACTAGTCTTGTGACCATTAGTTGTTCTGGTCTAAGTATAATAGCTCTTGTAGGCTGTAGTGAGGTGCCTTGTAGGGGGTATTATTTCTAGGTTTGCATATTTGTACCCCATCCCTTTCTATTCTCATCATTCCGCTATGGGTTGCTCTTGAGAGTTCTCGCTGTTCCCCACTTTGCCTATGGGGGTGTGCCAAACTGCATTATATGTTTGTAGGCTGTAATGGGGTAGCCCATATAATGCACAACACTTTTTAGGGCTGCATAGTTGTATCTCACTGCTGCTGTTCACACATTATTCTAATGTTCTCATTCTGACAATGCGTTTCATATGCACTAGATTCATCGGTGTATATTTACTTTAAAAATAATCAAGACAAAACTTTAAGAGATCGGTAGGCTATTTTTCAGCCCAACAAAAAGAATGAATGAATGAATGATGAAAGAAAGGAAGAACGAAAAAAAGAAAATAAAGAAAGAAAGAAATAAATAAACAATCAAAGAAAAAAATAAAGAAAGAATAAATAAAGAAAGGAAGGAAGAAAGAAGGAAGGTGGAAACATGAGAGCATAAAATTTGAATCTTTAGCCCTAGTCATAATATTCAAAATAGGCTTCAAATACTTTTGCGTGCGGGCACAACGGGATGTGCCTGCAAGGTGGATGACAGAACTGTTTGGTCTGTGGGAACTGCGATTTTCCATCCCCCAAACCCTAACCGTTTAGACCCATCTCCTTCATCACTCATCCCTCCTCCCTTGAATTGTTCTTTCCCGTGCTTCCCGTCCCGTGCTTCTCACCACGAACTCGTTTTGTCTCCTACCATTTCGTCGTGCGCTCCACGTTACGTAATAGGCGCTTGTTACTTGCTGTGCGACTAACTCCACGCGCTTGAACTAGGGACACGCAGGCAGGGTATTTGCCGATTCCGACTTTCGAGCGATTGGCAAATCGCTGCAGGCGCGCCATGGATGCTCTCAGCGCGCCATTCATGGTAAGCAACTGTCGCCGTCACGGCGGGCGTGGATACCGCGGTGACTGAATCGAGTGAGTGTCGAGTATTATCGGACGAGCTGACTCGAAGAGCCCAACGTGCCCCAGCGAGTTCTGCGTGCTTCTAGCGGCCCTTTTCATGTCTGGGAAAGGCCGTCCCGTCGCGGAGTCCAGGCAATCCCAAAGTCGCTGCCGTGGTCCAGCTCCGAACTGCGATTAGGCCGTTGAAACAAAGAAGACCCAATGCGTTGCTGGCACACGGACAGGCGTGGTCGCGATCAGTGGGCACATCCCAGCCAGGGATTGGACGAGGTTTTTCATTTGGGCAAACGCGACATGGGTGCACGTCTGAAACAATTCCTGGGACAAAAAGAAAATTAACGGCGAGTCAAGGAGAGCTAGAGTTTAGATGTCTATCAGCGTTGGCTCGACCGTGTTCGCAGCTGAACTGTTACATTCGCGAAATACCTCACCTCTTGCGTGATTGGTGAATATATGGTTCCCTTGTCTTGTCGCTGCACCAATTACCCATCCTCCTCTCTTCCCCCCCGCCCCGCCAGCCGCTCGAAGCTGCGCCGGACGGGCGCAAAGGGAAGGGCAAGAAGCGCCGGGAAGCGGCGGAAGCTCCAAATGGGGCAAGTGACGCCGATGCAAAGCGCGCCAAGCAGGCGGACGCGGGGCAGCAGGGCGGGGGGGACGGCGGGGGAGAAGCGGCGCAGCCCCTGGGGGAGTCGGAAGAGCAGGCGCAGACGCAGGCGGTGCAGTTTGTCGGGTTGCGGAGCGTGCGGAGAAGCAAGGAGCAGCAGAAGGGGCGGGAGCGGGAGAAGCGGGAGCGGTACGCGGGCGCGGGGGCGAAGGCTGGCGGGGAGGCGCGCGTGGGGGGCGGGAAGCAGCGGCGGAAGAAGGCGGTGAAGTCGAGCGTGGTGTACCTGGGGCGCCTGCCGCACGGCTTCTACGAGGACGAGCTCCACGGTACGCGCGCCCGCACGCGGGCGCATGGGGAGAGGGGCTCGGGGTACGGGGTTTTAAGGGGTTAGAGCCTGCAGGAGTTCGGGGTTTAGGGAATGAAGTGAAGGTGTGAGAGGACGGCACGAGAGCATGGGTACAAGGATATGTTATGGGTGCAGGTAGGTTCAGGTAGGTGCGTGAGCTGTGAAGAGTGACAGGCGGTTTTTAACTCTTTCTAGAACCAGGCGTGCGTGGGAACTGTGAGGACTTAGTCGTCACGTTTTCAAGGATCGCGCGTTCTGAGGGATTGCTATTGTATCGTAGCAAAGAGTAGGTGCGCGCGTCAGTGCAATCCGGATCCGCTCTGCGCTCTCTTCTTTCCTCCTCGCTACGTGATCTGTCCAAAATCGCCCACGTGCCAGAAAAAAGCACACACGCGCAGCAGCGCAGCAGCACTGCCTCTCTGCTGCCCCCTCTGCGCGCGGCCCCGTCGTCATGCCTCTCCACGTCCTCACCCCTCTACTCTCCCCACGCCCCTTTTTGCGTCGCCCCGCTTCCCCCTCTCCGCATCCCCCCATCCGCGCGCGTCCCCCTGTGCGCGCAGGGTTCCTGAGCCAGTTCGGCGAGATCGAGCAGCTGCGCGTGGTGCGCAACCCCAAGGTGCGCACGGGGGCGCGCGGGCCAAGGGGACGGTTGGTGTAGCACGGGGGCAGCGGGAGGGGAGTGGGAGAGGAGAGGGAGGGAGAAGAAGAGGAAGGGTGGGGGAGAGGGAGAAAAGAGAGAGGGGAGTGGGAGAGGGGGGATAGAGGAGAGTGGGGGGGAAAGGGAAAGTAGTGGGGGAGGAGACGGACGAAAGGGAAGAGGGGTTTAGGGGAGAGGGAAGAGAGCACTGAGGTTGTTCACTGTTTTCACGTTAGCTTTGCTCTCGTTTCCGTTAAGTATGTTTCATTCTTCCCTCCCTCTCTCTTCCTGCAACCGTTCCCTCTCTCCCTCTTTCCCTCCCCCCTCCCCTCTTCCATTCTGCCCCGTCTCACCCCTCCTCCCCTTCTCCCCACCCCGCCCTCCCCTCTACTTCCCCCCACTGCTTGTGTGTGCGGCGGCGCATGGCGGGGCGGGCGGCGAGCAGACGGGGAGGTCGCGGCACTACGGCTACGTCAAGTTCGCCGCGCCTGAGGTGCGCGCTGGGCTGCTCGTCGTGTGGCCGACCCCGTTTGTTGCGGTTGCTGGGTGGGGAGAGGAGGGCAGGTTGGGAAGGCTGGGGGGGTGGGTATGTATGTCCATGCACATGCATGTTCATGTGGCTGTGCGTGAGTGCATGAGCCCCCTCGATTCTCAGGGTCCATGCATGGAAACTTACCCCACCTACCCCCTCCTCCCCCTCTCCTCTTTATTTCCCCCCGCCTACCCCGTATCCCTTCCACCCCGCCCCTCGTTCCTCGGTTGTCCACGCACCCCTGCGTGTGTGTGCGTGCATGGCACGGCAGGTGGCAGCGATAGTGGCGGAGTGCATGGACAACTACCTGCTCTTCGGCCACCTGCTCAAGACGCACCTCGTCCCCGCCACCCGCGCTGACCGCGACCAGCTGTCAGTGCCATGGGGGGTGGGGGGGGGTGGAGGGGGGAGGGGCATTGTGTGGATGGAAGGTGGGGGGGCAGTGGGGTGGGTGTTGGGGCTAGCATGGGAGTGATGTTGTGAGTGTGGTGGGTAGTTCACTGGGACGGCAAGGAACAGGCACATGGCATGTGGCTAGAACGTGGCACGTGCCATGGGTGGGCGCAGCAAGTGGGGACCATTGCGCTCATCGCCCTAGCGGTCATACCCACGCCATTGAATCAAGGGTTACACCACCTTCCCCTTGCTGCCCTGCCATACATTCATACCGACGTGGTTGCTCCACGCGTTGCCCCAGTCTGTGTTATGGGCACAGCACACTGTCTCAAACTGGACTTGCTCCTTGTCCCACCCATGCTGCGCCCTGCCAACGACTTGTCCCGTCCCCCCTCTCACAGGTTCTACACTCCCCACAAGAGCCCTTCAGAAGTCTCTCAGCCCAAGCCGGTAAGACTCAACCAAGAGCTTCCAAGCGTAACTCTAGTAGGTTTTCCCAAGCCTCCTCTGCATGCATGCATGTCTGCGTGACTGCATGGCTGCATGCTTGTGAGCTGCTGGAAGCATGTGTCTCGTTCACGCTTGCCTCTTCCCCTTCATTGCTTCTTCTCCGCATGTTGGCCTCTCTCGTTCATATGGTGTTCCACTCCTTGGAATCGCCTCTCATGGTATCGCACTCAACGAAATGGCATGACATCACCGCCCTGGCTAACCTGTCATGGCATGGCATGGCATGGCATGGCATGGCATGGCATGGCATGGCATGGCATGGCATGGCATGGCGTGGTGTGGCACGGCATGAGCAGGTGGAGACATGGGAGGACTACAGTGAGCAGGCGCGCAAGCAGTCGAAGAAGCTCAATGCCACCATGAAGCGACTCAAGGCAGCTGGCATCCAATACGACTTCCAACCCAAGGTGCGCCCATGCGCTGCCTCTTATCACTTGTTGTTGCTGCCACTGCTGCCACTGGCTGGAGATTGAAAGGGTGAGTCAGACAGGTTAGGGAAGGAAGGAGCGGATATGGTATGAGATTGTTGTAGCCGTTCGTTGGCTGTTGGATGGAAGTGAAGCGGTCTGCGCGAGTGCTTCATGTCGTGACTTGAGACATTGTTTCTTCTTGTTGCCTTGTACTTTTCTTCCCCTAACCCTACTCTCGTTCCCCTAACCCCTTCTCTCCTCTCCTGCTGTGCTTCATGCAGCCCAAGGCAGCGAGGCCCGAGGGGGGGATGCACCAGCGCTTCAACGAGGAGGGCGAGGCAGCCTCAACCCCAACCCTAACCCCAACCACAGCCACAGCCACAGCCACAGCCGCAGGCGCTGCAGCAGGCAAGGGCAAGGGGGCGAAGCAAACGGGCGGGGCGAAGGAGCAGAAGCAGAAGAGGAAGGGAAAGGTGGAGGGTAAAGTGGATGGGCAAGGGGAGAAGAGTGCGGAAGATGCCGAGGGGACGCAAGTGCAGGAGAGGAAAGGTGTGAAGGAGGTGCAGGTGCAGGCAGAGGGTGGGGATGGATTGGCAGAGAAGAAGGTGAGCAGTGGGGGCGTGAGCGAGGTGACAGTGGAGGGCGAGGAGAAGAGGGGGGGTGAGGAGGACGTGGTGGCACGCGCCCAGGCTGTGGCCCAACGGCTGAAGCAGGAGGCGGAGAAATTCGCCCAAGTGTTGGGGAAAGATACCGTGGATGCTGAGGATGGTGGCGCACACGAGGGAGGGGCTGGTGAGGATGATGACGGTGCGGAGGCGGTTGACGAGCCATGGAGTGATGGGCATGAGGAGGAGGAGGAGCTGTTGCATGAAGAGCAGGATGTGGAGGAGGAAGAGGATGAGCAGAGCGAGGATAGTGAAGGGGAGGAGGGTGATGAGGACTAGCGTTAGCTGCTCTGGCCATGAGAGGAACACTCGTGTCTTCGTTTACCTAAATTACAATCTTGTTCACTGGTAACGAGTGCTATTGGATATGTGGTGCTAAACAGGGCCCAAAATTGGTTTGAGATAACCCTTGGGAATCAGGGTCCATTGCTAATGTCACCTCACCTTGTTTGTGATGATACTTCATTTTCTACCCTGTCAAAATCAGGGTAATTTTAATGAGATAGATTAACCTGATTGTGCAAGGTGTCAAACTGCAAATATGCATGCTAAGCTACAGTGGGCCACATACCGTGTTGAGTGTTGTGCCAACACATTATAGTGGCACAGTCATCGCACACCCATTCAGCCTACAAGCCTGATCAGCTTCTTGTGGGGAGCTTCTTCAATATGTGTTATTCAAACCTTCAAAGTTTCAGAATTTTTGAAGCAGTTACCAAGGCATGACAACATTTAAAGTTTCAAGACTTATGACATCCCGGAAGTGTGTGTTACTTCTTTTGGTAACACCCGAGTTCACCATTTCGGCTGCTGACTCGTCTACCGAGCTCTGATTGGTCTGAAATTCGGTCTTGAAGTCCTTTGCCCCGTTTTGCATGTGGTCACCAAGTTTCAGAACGATCCAACATCGAAGCATTGCGTGACAGATGTCGAAAGTCACTGTTCCATAGTCATGGTGCACTGTTGGCAGCATTTCCCTTGCCACCCTTTCATTGTTGTCATGACAATGGTGCAGGGACAGAGAATGAGACAAGAAGTACAGGTGGTCAAGTGGGACTCTACCACCCTCCTTTTGAGAAGTGTGGTCTTCCTGGAAGCAGCTTGTAAGAGGGTAGTCGATGCACATCCGTAGACTACCGTCTGGTTTTGGAGTAAAGAGAACTAGTGCACCGTAGGGAGAGGTGGATGGGCGGATCAGTTGTCTGTCCAGTAGATACTCTATCTGTTTTTTCATTTCTGTCAGTTCAGTCGGACTCAGTCGGTATGGTGCACGTAAGACGGGTTTCGCACCTGGTTCCTCCACGATCTCGTGCTCGTGGGTGCGTGATGGAGGTACGCTTGCAGGTAGGTCGTCGGGCATTATATCCTTGTACTGCTCCGAGACCTCCTTTACTACTGCAGGTAGCTCGGAACTCGGCTTCTCCTCCTCTGCTGCTGCCATAACAAGTGCTAGGTAACCCGTGTTACTCTCGTTCACCGTCTGTTCGAACCGTGCCAGTGTCGTTTCAGGAACGTTCCCTGCATCCGTCCAGCTTCGCAGTGCTATCCGCTTCCCGTTGTTGTAGATGCACACCTTGCTGTTGACCCAATCAATCTCGGGGTTGAACCGCTTCAGGAAATCTCACCCCAAGATAAAATCTAATCCTTTGATGTTGGTGACTGGTAGCTTCGGCTTCCACCTCAACGCACCTATATGCAGCTGCAGTGATGCTTCGCCGTGGATAGGAAGCTTCGTACCGTCCACCATGGTCTCTTCCGCCTTCTCTCCAATTTTCTCCAATGCTCCGCGGTCACACACCGAGTGAGATGCACCGCTGTCCACCAGTGCCTGGAGGTGTCGCCCATTGCATAACACCTCGAGGAGTAGTGGTTTCTACTGCGCTGAGTAGCCAAAGAGGGTCTCGTTAATAGGATCGTAGGGTACATCAAACTTAATATCTTCCTTTTTTCCTATACCTGACTCAACGCTTTCCAACTTCACCTGGGGGGTAGGAGGATTTTTCCGAGGCTTGTATAATTTCTCCTGAGCTTGGATGTCTCCTCTAAGCCTTGGCAGCTGTGTAGGCTTCACCTGTGGGCAACGGGGAGCCTTAACACTATGCCGCGGGGAGAGAATATTAACTCCACGGAACGCACGACCCTTTTCTACGCTCCGTAGTACTGTGCCCAACTTCTCAGGTACCTGAATGATTTCTAAAGGGTTTTTCTTGGCCTCTAGACCTCCCCTGAATTTTTTGAAGGCTTGTAAACCATGAGAAGCAATATTCTTCGTTATAGCATCTTTATAGGATACTTTTAACGAATTCTTACTTTCGTGGGTGTTCGGCTGGAGTTTCCCGATCGGTGCAGAGTCTTTTTTCGCGGAGCCTCCATTCGCCTCGGCGATTTCCCCTGATGCCGGCCAGTCGTGACGTTTTAAATTCGCGCCATCATTTTCTCCTTTTTTCACCCGCTCCGAAGTCGCCACGTCGTCGCCTTTTCCTGCTTTTCGGATCTTTACGCGATCGCCAGGTCGATCCGCGGCTACTGGCGATTCCCGTTTTTTTACTTCGGGGGTGCTCCACTGTTTCCGTCCCGGAGTGTTGCACGTGCTTTCTTCATTTTGTAGCACGACAAAAACTGATGTCCTGCTGCGCCGCAAAATTCGCATTTTGTCGGCTGCTGCTTCGCGTCGTATTTGTCGATATCCATCGGTGCGGCGAACGTGGGGGGTGCCGATCGCTCCGTGCCGAATGTACGGTTTGGCGTGAAGCGTCGTGTTTCGGGTTGACCTCGAGTCAGCGCGTCGTATCGCTCGGCAGCACGCACGATGTCTCTGTAGCTGTTGTAATTCGCCGCAATCACCTGCCGCCGAAACTCCATTTTTAACCCTTCGGTGTATGCCTGGATTTTTTCGCCTTCGGTCAGGTCGGTGATGCGGTTGAACAGTAACTCCATCTGCTGCGTATACTGAGTTACACTATTGTATTGCTTGTGTCGGTGTATCTGCTGCCGCGCCATGTAGGTTGTATTAATTGGTTCGAAACACTCGATTAAATCTGCCCGAAACTGCTGCCACGTTTTCTCCCCGCGGGCTACGTCGATGTAGTAAATCCATTCGAGAGCCGGTCCACGTAACAGTGTCGTTGCGAGCCGAATCCTTGCTGCGTCGTGTTGCGGGGTCAAACAGCCAATGGCCTCGAAGTAAATTTCGAGGGTGGCCACGAATCGCCGGACGTCGGATCCCTTCGCGCTTGGATCGAACGCCTCTGGGAGCCTCGGTCGTGCTGCTTCGAGGTTCGGCGAAAGTGGTGCCATTGGTCCGTGAAATGTCGGTGTCGCCACTGCTGCTAGAGTTTTCGGTGCTGCAGTCGCTGCGGTCGCTGCTGCTGCGGTGGCGAACCCTGGTTGGCTTGTCAGAAAAGCCTCGAGCCGACGAAGCGTCGCCTGCGTCTGCTCCATGTCGGTGCGGAGGCTCGCGATGTCGCTCGTAGTCGCGTAGTTGTCGCCTTGGCCCTCCATGCCTGACATCAACGCGTCCGAAAAACCGAATCGAGGGGGAGCGAAAAACACGGAACCGGTTTTACGTACCCGAAATCGATGTTTGACTGCGTCGCCCCCGCGGTTTTTGAAGACTGGGTTTTAGCGGTCGAAAGAGCTTCGTGTGTAAACGGGCTCTGATAAATAAGTGTGAGGATCTAGGATCGAGCTCAGAAAAGAGAATGAGGATTGAGTCGAATTGAATGATCACCTGGGTACAGCACAAGGCTATATATAGGCTCGACACAAGACCCCGTAACCAGGTGTTACGCGAAGGTTCTGCGGGCCGCGTAGCGTCCCGAACGGATCCTTACCGAATTCGGTAGAAGGCAATTCGGTGGCAACCGAAAAGGCCAGAATTTGGTGCACACAACCTAGCTCGGTGCTATAACTATAATAAAATATAGGAAAGCACCTAGCCTAGGAAATCAAGCAATTCATGCATGCATATGATTATCCTATGCTAGAAATAGCATGATAAAGTAAAGGCAAGCAAGCATAGCTGGCATAAGCCGTCGTACTCTCACATCCAGGACCAGTGTCTCCAGTACCTCCAGCACTGACCCCAGGGTCAGCAGCAACAGTAGCACCTCCAGCTCAACCAGCACGGCTCCAGCGCCGGGCAAACAACTCGCGCAGCTCCTATGGAGAGGGTAGCTCCCGCCGAGACGTAGCACCCGAAGGACCCCCAGACCTAGCATCGCCAGAGGCCACACAAGCAGACCCAGCGCCCCCAGGCTCCGCACCCCCAGGCTCAGCACCCCCAGGCTCCGCACCCCCAGGCTCCGCACCCCCAGACTCAGCACCCCAAGGCTCAGCACCCCCAGACCCAGCACCCCCAGGCTCAGCACACCTAGCAGCACCAGAGTCAACAGCCACCTCGACAAGCTCGACTGCTTCTACCTGGGACACACCTGACGGGGCAGGACCCTGAGGGGGGAGTGAGAAGAATAGAACAAGAATGAAATGACTATGAATGAAGTGAGTACAAATAGGAAACCCTAATGGGATTGTACCCCCTATGGGATACCCCACTATAGCCTACACAAATAAGTAAGCTATAATGTTCTGACACACCCCCATAAGCAAAGTGGGGGAGAACAAGGGGTCACAAGACCACTCAAGCAAAGCAAAGCAAAGCTCAGGGTGGATCACAAAGTCACCACACATTCCGAGCACAAGTTCAAAGGCCAGAAGGCCAGTTCACATGCAAGATCACATATAGAGATATATAAGAGTCAAACAAGCAAGAGCAAGAGTATATATAGGTAAAGGTACAAGCAAGGTCAAGAAGTGAGCAAGTGAGGCAAGAGAGGCACAAGACCCAGCTACGTGCAGCAGCGCTGATGATCACAAGGCGCAAGTGCCTTGGTGAAGACATCAGCAGTGTTGGCCTCAGAGGCCATGTACGCAAGTCGCAACTGTCCACGCTGCTGTAGCTCACGAGCAAGAAAGTAGCGGAGAGCAATGTGCTTTGTCCTGTGCTCCAGTCGCTGCTCTCGACACAAGGCCAGCATGGCCTTGTTGTCTACGTACAGGACTGGAGGAGAACGAGGCGGCTCTCCAAGGTCGGTCAGCAGGTAGGTGAGCCAGCGAAGCTCCTGGGCCGCCATAGCCCCGGCGTAGATCTCAGCCTCACAACTGGAGCCGAGAACAGAAGACGAGCGGGTAGCCCGCCACGAAACAGAGCCGGAACCAAGGCTGAAGGTGTAGCCCTGTGACGACCGCTACGTAGCCTGGTCGTCAGCCCAAGAAGCTGT